TAGGGACTCAGATCACCTCTTAACCACGGTAAAATCACTGCAAATCAGCCTTTTGCTTATGCATTTTGGAAATGCATGAGTACAAGTGACCAAAACACAGTTAATATCTAACTCCCAGAAGCCAAAGGTCGATGGTTGATACAAGACCTTCAACCACTGCTCACATGGCAACGGTTTTATATCTGACACACAATCGAAACCTCCTGTTTTGTCAACCAAACAGCTTTTCAGGCAGTTTTATAAGCATCAAACTGTGCACTTTGCTTAGCTACGGCAAGTGAAGGCTAAAAAATGTTCTTCGAGCTACAGCTGCGAGATTTAAGAGGAACGATGCCTTCCATGCAACCCTTGTTGTGCCCACCAAAATGTGCTCTTAATTTCGTCCAAACTGTATTCAGAGATTGCCATGACCTAAATAACTTGATCCAAGAGTCTTTCACAAGGACACAATGTTTGCTTAAAGAAACGCAGCCAAGCACTTGTGTGTTGAAGCACAGAGATGCAGCCGCTATGTTTATTCAGATATACATTTCAGCAAACGCCACGGGCGATACAGTCATTACAGCGAAAGTAGGTCTAACTGCTAAGACTTCTCAGCGGCTCTTATGTAACTTGATGTTTTCTGTGAATTGAGCATTTACAATGACAATGATTTGAGTTTAACCTGAATACGACAGTGATGCAACAAGCCCTGAATTTCCCAAACGTTACTGCTAAACTAATTAGGGCTCACCTGAGGAAAACAACCACATGTACAAGTCTAAATGCAATGATTTGCCAATGCAAAACTAGTCTGGACTGGTTTTAAGTGTGTTGGGTGTTTGCTGCAGGATGACACACACATTGTAATTTAGTACTACTTGTTAGGGGTTTGTAATATGGCTTCTTGACCATATCATTAAGAAACATTTAGACAATCAGTCAAGTGCAGCAGATCTTAAAGCTCAACTTCACTCCTGAGAGAGAGAGAGAGAGAGAGAGAGAGAGAGAGAGAGAGAGAGAAAAAAAAGACCCACATAAAAAAAAAAC